GCTCCCTTGCCCAGACCTTGGATGGCCTCCTTCTGAGCTAGCTCGGGCCAACGCCCCAAGCTCACCGCTGAAAGGGCCTGCCCTCCTCGCCGCCGGCCGCCGGCGCCTCGTCCTCCACCTTCACTTCCATCCTGTCGGCGGCCCGAATCACGCGAGCCAGCTTCATGATCTCCTGGTCGGACATCTGCGCTGCTCCCGCCTGGCGCGCTGCCTTCTCCTTCTCGCGATCCTCCCTCTGCTCGTGCACCTCGAGCTGGGTCATCATCAGCTGCTCGCCGAGCTTGCGCATCTGGTCCAGGATCGGCTTCATCTGATTGCTGTGGACCTCGATCTGGCTGGGCGAGAGACGCTCCGCGGTCGCGGCCAGGCGCCTTGCGCCGGGCGGGCTCTTGACCGCCATCGGCGGCACCCCGCGAGGAAGCTCCGAGGGCTGTAGTACCCCCATACTCGGCTGGACTAGCTCCCAGGCCTGCTCGATCAGCTCTGGGTCGTATCCTGGAACTCCCTCCTCGATCTCCTGGTCGATCATGCTGCCGAAGGCCCGCGGCGGGTCCCGCGCCTGAGGCTGCGGCCCCCTCGCCCGCGGAGCTGCCCGCCCACGCGAGGAGCTCGCCGCTCCTCCGCGCGCCTTCGGGGTCGGAGGCACGCATGGCACCGCCCGCGCCATCCACGGGTCGCCCTCCGAATAGGTCTCCACCAGCCTCTGCACCTCGTCCTTCAGCTTGGCCTTCGTCTCGTTCTTCACCTGCTTGGTCTGCTTCTTGGCCTCCGCCGGTGCCCTCTCCTCTGGTGTCTTGTCCCTCAGGGAGATGCGCGTGTTGCACGTGCGACAGTGGCTGTAGACCGAAGTGCCGTTGGAGCCGCTCAGGATCGCCCGCGGCGGGCGGGCGCATCCTTCCACCGAGCCCTGCTGCAATTCCACCGCCTGCGGCCGCAGGGCCGCGACGCCTCGAATCTGCACGCGCGCGTGAGCCATGCGCAGCATCCTCAGAGCCCAGCGGCGCCAGCGCAAGAGGACGCCCTTCCCGTCCGTCAACTGCAACGGCGTCAGCACGTCCACTCCGTTGAGAAAATTGCGTTTCACCGGCAACGACATCGTCTCCCTCGTCAGGTCTATCTCCGCCGGCGTGTCGTCCACCTCCTCCCAGCCACCGTCCAGCTCCTCGCCCTCGCCCTCGTGGATGGGCGCCAGGAGATTGCCCACCCGGCGTGGCCTCGACGTCCGCGCCGGCCTGGTGGAGATACTCTTCTTCACCATCGCGACAATTCTTCGCGCCCGCTGGAGAGGAACTGGCGATGCATTGAGCCGAGACGGCACGGCTACGGATCCCGCCCTGTAAAGTTGGCCCGCTGCCCCTCGAGACCCCCCCCCAGGAGCCCAAGACACTCCTGAGAAGGGGGGGGGGGAGGAGAGAGATATCTGAACTAGCTGGCTCTAGCGCCCACCCCCCCCGCACTCCCCGCGGCAGTCCTCAGGGATCCGGCTCAGGATATCCAGATCGACGTGGAAGTCCTCGGGCTCGCAGTGGATGAGGGAGAGCGACCTGCGGCCCGCCTCGCGCCTCACCAGGGGCCTCCGTGCCGCGCCCAGCCTGCCCAGCGTCGCCTCGTCACTCGCCAAGTCCACTACGGCGCGAAGGGACTCGAGGTAGCGAGCCAGCAGAAGTGGAGGACACCTGCCTGGCAGGATGAGAAACTCCACTATACTGCACTTCCAGATACTCACGGGCGCCCAGGCTCGACCCGCAGGCGCGACTCGTCCTCCGACGCCCCCCGCCGCCGCCCCCACCACCGGGCCCTCCTTCGCTATCATCTTGAAACCGCGCCAGCCGAAGGCGTCGACCATGTGATCGAGATCGATCTACCCCACGAGGGCCTGAGCGGCGGCCGCGCCCACCAGCGCGCGGTCGCCCATCTGCATCAGGGGGGGATTCGGAGCGCCCGCAAACGTCTTCATCAGCGTGTTCCAGTCGGTCACCGAGATGGCCGTGAAGTCGCCCTCGCCCGGCTCGAAATCGTGGAAGAAGCTCTTGGAGACGTCCTTCTTGCCACCGTTCTTCTCGCCCGCTATCCGATCAGCCTTCGACCTGAACTCGTTCTTGCACGTCTCCGCCCAGTGTCCGCGCTCACCGCAATTCGCGCACCTCGTGCGCTTCTTTACATCACTCATCATCAACCGCTTGAATCCGGGCTTCGAGGCACGGCGCTGGTCGAAAAAGTCAAGATCCACCTTCTTGGCCGCCTTCGTGCGACGAGCCTCCTGCCGCGTTCTTCCGCGAGGCTTCCCAAGCCGGTCCTCCACGACGGCCGCGAAGACCTGCGGCACCTCGTGCTCCCCGAGGTCCTGCTCGTCGAGCGCCGCGAGAAAGGTGTCCACGTCGTATTCGGGAAGCCCCGCGGAGTCGTCGATGTCGGTCAGGTACACCCCCGAACTTCCTCGTCGGCGTTCTGGCCCAGCACGGGCTCCTGGACGTCCGCCGGGAAGCTCCTGGTCGCCGTCGTCGCGCTCGGGAGGCTCGGTTTGTCCTGAACATCCATTTTGAGCAACGCACTTCTCACCGCAGCGTATCCTTCCTGTCCTGCGGCCAACGTCTTCATGTTAATCCGATTCTGCATGCTCAGGCCTGCCCCGTCTTCCAGGTAGCGAGCCTTCACGCTGTCTGGCAGGACCAGGTTGTGCTTCTCGGCCTCGACCACCTGGGCGTCGCGCCGGATCACGTACTCCGCCAGTGATTCGGTCTTGCGAATCTGGTAGCCGAACAGCGCCGCATTGTGCGCCGTTCGTTCTGCATCGCCGGGCCTTTCGCCGTTCAGGAGAGAAAAGTGCTGGATGAGCTTCTCCACTCCGTCGGGCCCCTCGAGCTCGGTCCTAATCGTGCGGAACTTCACTTGCATGTCCACTGGGAGTCCCTCGAGAACTCGGCCTGCCTGGGTGTGCTCCTTGAATCCCGCTCTCCGGGTCCAGGCTCTGAGATTGTCTTTGTACACCTGCAGGTGGTCGAACCCGAACCATGACGGAGGAGCACCGAAATCCCGATTCGTGGTCTCCCAGCCGGGGCTCCACTGAGGGGTTTGATGCCAGTCTCCTTCCTTCCATGCCGAGGTTGACCAGTCTTCACGCTTCCACGACATTGTCGTCTCATCCTCGGCTGGAGTCCACTGCCACACCTGCTTCCATGATCCACTCGATCCGTCTCGACTAGGCCCCCAATCTTGTCAGTCATCGAACCCAGGAGGTGCAGCTGATCCTGTTCCTCTCGCTTTCCTGTCGGGCGTGCCTACCTCCTCCCAGGTGTCCTTGGGTCGGTCCTCTGCTTTGCCGTCATCGCCGTCGTGCGCCGAGCCTCCACCCGCTCCGACGTTCATGGCCTGCCTCACCGTTTCCTCCGACATTGCTCCGCTTACCACTGTCTCAAACTACTGATACATATGGGATCGTGGGGGTCGTAGTTGGGTGAGGAGGGGTTCCTTTCTCCTCGGGCGGATGAGCAGTTCGAACTCACTCAGGCGCCTAAGCCAACACGGCTAGGGAGAAGGGACAAAGAGGGGGAAACACTGAAGGGGCTTGGGGGTATCCAGGAACACCTATCGTTGTTCCCGAGAGCAGGGGCCCCCCCGGGCATAAGACGAAACGGTCCAGTGAGCTCCAGCGCCTCGCTGGGCAACCTGCCCAGCGAGCCTCTCCCTGCCCGGCGAGCCGGGGTGGGACTCCTGCTCGTCCTGGGGCCCTCCCCGGGAGCCGCGGGGATCCGCAGGGCTTCGGGGCGGGATTTCCTCAGAAAGCCCAAGGACTTCCCCAAGAGTCCTGTGGACGGCCTGGCGACTTCCTCCGGGCTCATAGGGAATTCCTCTGGAGTCGTTAGATTATCCACGCAGTTCCTCTGGAATTATGACAATTCCCCCAGAATCCTCAGGGTCTCCTGGAAACCGAAGAGAATCGCAACCATAATTCTCAAGATTTTCTCCAGAACCGGAAAGATGCCCAGGATGTCTAATGGAATCCTGAGCATTGGAATGGGAACCAGCAATTTTCTTAGCAATTCGTTCTTCTAGGACCCGGTCGGGAGCCATATGGGATCTCCTCAGGAGCCCTGAAGAAATCCGCTTGGGCCTATGGGATTTCCCATGGCATCCTGATGGTTAAAATGGAATTCGCCATGCATCCCCGATCGGATTTTTCGTGCGTTTCTTCGCGGCGGATTTCGCCTTCCTGTGCCTCGACGCGCCACCTACCGATGAGCGAGACACCTGCGGATGCGATGCAGCTTCCACGCGTGAGACTCCCAGCCGCGCGACCGAGTCCAGTCGCGCAGCGAAGCACCCCAACCGCAGACCGAGACCCCCACCAGCCGCGGAGGGACAGACGCCGATCCCCTTCCCCCGCGCGAGACCCCCCTGCGCGCGCGGGGCCCAAACGCGCAGATAGGCGAAGCCCCCGCCGCGGAGCGAGACTGCACACCAATCGCCGAAGGAGACCCCCGCCGATTCACAATCCCGCAGAGCGAAGGGGAACTAGGGGCGCGGAAGCTTCACATGGAGCGCAGGCGAGTCAGGCATTGGGGTGGCCGGGACCCACGCGGCGCGAGCGCGCATCGAGTATCCCAACCCCGCCCTTGCGATTGGGATGATGTGGGTGGGATGCGTGCGCGTTTCCTGGCAAGTCCCCTCCTCTGCTGCCCCCTCCTGCCCAACTCCCCAGGCCACCCTCCACCAAACATCCCTGGAGGCCCCCTGAGACCTCTGTAGCCCCAAAACACGGAAAACGCCCAAATGCCTCGATCCTCGAAGCACGAGGACCGACGACGTTGACGGCAACGGCGACGGCAGCGGCGACGGCGACGGCCGCGGCGACGACGGCGACGACGGCGGTTTTTACCACCGGCGATGGGGCAACGGCGAAGGCGCCAACGAGGCCAGCCCTTACTTGCCTCTGGGCAGCCCGCCCCGCACCGCTCGCTCGACGGCGACGACGACGGCCGCAGCGGCGGCTCCGCCGTCGCCTGGGTGGCGCGGCGGGCGCCACTGCTGGCGGCAACGCGGGGAGCGCCTCGGGCAGGAATTTTTTGTGGCTGGCACCAGGCGGCGACAAGGACGACGGGCACGGCACGGCGCCCTCGAGAGCCAGGGCGGCGGTAAGGACGGGGCGGTGGCGAGGAAGACTTTTGACGTTCGCATCCAACGCCCCAGGACGGCCCAAGAGGTCCCCAAGAGCGCTGTGACGGCCGAAGAAACTCCAAGAAGGCCCTCGAACGGGTCAAGAGGGACAAGACCGCTCAAGAGGCACCGAAAACACCCCCCAAGATACGTAGCACCCCGCAGATGCGGATAAGAGTGAGGGGAGGGGGCGGTGGGGACGTCGCCAAAGTTTCACAAATTATACAACGAGCCCGCGGCAAGCGCCGATATTTTCGTTAAGCCAGTGTGATTGGGTCGCGGGTGGGTCGCGGGTGGGTCGCGGGTGTAGGGGGCAGAAAATTCACCCCATGAGAATCACCCCGACAAGCGAAGCCGTTTAGTAAGCACACAAAGAATAAATCGAACAGGGCAAGGCTGTTTGCTTAGTAAACGCCCGAGGCCGTTTAGTATACGTAAATTGTCGGGTCCGGGTGGTTTTTCCTCCTTTGAGGTTGGGTCGCGGGGTGGGTCGCGGGTGGGTCGCGGGGTGGGTAACGGGCGGGTCGTGGATAGGTCGCGGGTGGGTCCCGGGTGGGGCGCGGGGTGGTTCGCGGGTGGGTCGCGGGTTGGGTCGCGGGTGGGTCGCGGGGCGGGTCGCGGGGTGGGTCGCGGGGTGGGTCGCGGGTGGGTCGCGGGGCGGGTCGCGGGTGGGTCGCAGGAGGGACGACGACAACGAACAACAACAACAACAACAACAACAACAACAACAACAACAACCATTTTAAGGCTGTACGCTCTTACTTGCCCGCGAGTCATTCAACACGTATACCCTACACCCTCGATGCCCGCCCTCTTCGTCTTCGATCACACCCCTTTCGGGGGGATTATTTCTCTTTGCTGGGGCCGGCGGGCTTAGACGTACGGGCAAACCGGAACGGGCGGACAATCCTTCGGGGGCGTACATCTCTCTGCCCGCCATTGGAATTGGCGCGGGCCCTGCAAGAGGAGGAGGGGAAGAACGAGGGAGAGTGGGAGGAAGGGGAGGGGGAAGGACGAAGGAAGAGGGAAGATACCACGTTGTGAAGGCGTCCTTGGCGCGCGCGTGGTTCCTGAGCGCCGAAACGCAATTCCAGAATAATTTGTGAGGACGTCGCACGCGAGAGCGCAGTCCTGAGTACATTGTGAAGAAATCTCGGGCGGAAGCGGGGGCCCTGACTAAGTTGCGAGGAAGTCTCAAGCGGGAGCGCCGTTCCTGAGCAAATTGCACGGAAGTCTCAGGCGGGAGCGGGGGTCCTCACTAAATTGCGAGGAAGTCTCAGGCGGGAGCGCCGTTCCTGAGTCAATTGCGCGGAAATGTCAAGCAGGAGCGGGGGTCCTGAGTAAAATTCGAAGAAGTCTCAGGCGGGAGCGCCGTTCCCACGTAAATTGCACGGAAGTCTCAAGCGGGAGCGGGGGTCTTGATTACATTGCGAGGAAGTCTCAAACGGGAGCGCCTTTCCTGAGTAAATTGCGCGGAAGTCTGAGGCGGGAGCGGGGGTCCTGAGTAAAAATCGAGGAAGTCTCAGGCGGGAGCCGTTGTTGTTGTAGCCCGGGGGGCAGGGGCACAGTTTGAGCAGGAAGACTTTCCTTGAGAAAAAACAAGGTGCGAGCCCCGGGGGTGGCACTTCAATCGAAAAAAATAAATGTGCACCGGTGGGGGGGGATCAACAATAATTATTCTTCAAGAATGAGAGTTCAACAACAACAACAACAACAACAACAACAACAACAACAACAACAACAACAGCAACAGCAACAGCAACAGCAACAGCAACAGCAACAGCAACAGCAACAACAACAGCAACAGCAACAACAACATCAACGACAACAATCATTTGAAGACTGTTCGCCCTCATCTGCTCGAGTGTCCAACAACGCGTATTTCCCAAACCCTCGATACCCGCCCTCTTCGTTTTCGATCGAACCCAATTTGGGGGGTATACCTTTCTTCCCTGCAGGCCGGGCTCCGGCAAGCGGCGGGGCGGCCGCGGACCGTCGGCCTGGCCAGCGGCAGCGCTGATTGGCGGGGCGGCCGCGGACCGTCGACCCGACCCCAAGAGGGACGGACAGGGGACCGACCACGACGACGACGACGACGACGACGACGACGACGACGACGATGTCGACGACGGCGACGGCGACGACGACGGCGACGACGAGCGAGAGCGAAAGCGAGAGAGGACGACAGCAGGGCCACGAAGGACACGAAGTAGGCGACGAAGGGCGACAGCGGGGACACGAAGAGCAGCCTCTTGGGGCCGTCTTTGGGGCCTGTTGTACCGTCGTGCACGACGTGAAGACCGAAAAGGCGCAGATGCTAAACATATACGTTTTCCTGTGCAAAATCAATGATTTTGGCCGCTCGGGGCTCCCTTGGAAAGCTTCTTGGGGCGTCGTAGCGGCCTCTGGGGCTCTATGGGAGCCATCTTGGGTGTCCAGGGGCGATCTTTGAAAGCCCTGGGGCCGTCTTGGACCGATTTGGGAGCCTTTTGGGGCTCCGTGGACACGTCTTGGCCGCCTCTAGAGCACGCCTTGGCCGCCTCTGGGGCTGTCTTGGGCTCCTCTTGGGCCGTGTTGGGGGCCCCTTGGGCCGTCTTGGGGCCGTCGTGGGGGCCTCTTGTACCCTCGCGCACGCCGTGAAAACCGAAAAGACGTGGATGGTAAAAATGCACGTTTTCCTATGCAAAATCAATGATTCTGGCCGCTTGGGGAACTTGGGGCGTTGTAGCGGCTTCTTGGGCTCAATGGGAGCCATCTTGAGCATCCAGGGGCGATCTTTGGGTGCCCCAGGGCCGTCTAGGTCCGGTTTGGGGGCCACTTGCGCCTCCCTGGGCACGTCTTGGCCGCCTCTTGGCCCGGACAGGAGCGCTCCCGGAGCCACGGAGCGGCCATGGTGGGCGCAAGTACCGGCCTGGCGGCCCCGATCCCCTTCCGCCGGCATGTGTATATATATATATATATATATATATATATACACACGCATATACATATACATCCACTCACACATATATATATATATATATATATATATACAGATGTGTATGTATGTGTATACGTATGTATGTGTATGTGCACGTGCGAACGCACCCCCCTGGGAAAGCGCATGTCCGTGATACATGGGTGCCATGGGCTACAAGTGCAGGGCGCGCAGCACATTCGGCTCAGGGGGCAAGCCGAGGGCGCAATATGCATCATGATCACTGAAAGAGCGTATTCTGTCGCTGCTGGCAGAAAACCCGGGTGGGTCATCATTGAGGGCTTCAAACCCGCCCCCCCTCCCCCCTCCTCGAAAACTGGTGGGGCTCACCGGGGGTTCCAAATCCATCCCCCCCATTATGAAAAGAGGGGGGGGACTACCGGTTCGAACCCCCCCTCCACCCCCTCCTCGTCGCCGGTCAACGACTCCCCCTGCTCCTCCACTCCAGATGGGGGACTGTGGTGGGGACAGTGGTTGGGGCGGTGGTGGGGATGGTGGTGGGGAGTGGGGACCCAGTGAGACAGTGGTGGGGACAGTGGGGACCAGAGGGGAGAATGGGACCGTGGTGGAGACAGTGGTGGGGACAGTGGGAACAGTGCGACAGTGGTGGGGACAGTGGTGGGGACAGTGGGGACAGTGGGACAGTGGTGGGGACGGTGGTGGTGGGGACAGTGGTGAGGGGACAATGAGACATTGGTGGGGACAGTTGGGACAGTCACGGGCGAATGTCGACAAGCACATGCACCAGCGCTCCTCCACGGCCATCTCCTGAGGTGCGGCGTTCTGACCAAGATTTCGAGGCGAACCCAGCCGTGGCGACGAGGGAAGCGTAACGGTACCGGTACCTTTTCTCTCTCCGAGTCGCGCGAGAGGGACCCAGCCGTGGGAAGAGAGCGAGGATGACCGTTGTCCTGGGAGGAAGAGGAGCGGGAGACGGAGGCAGCGTCGAGGAGTGCGCCTGCGCGGGAAGCGCCTCGGCCCGAGCTGGCGTGGACGGCGGCTCTCCTGGGGTGCCGCCGCGGGCGGCCGCGCCGGCCACTCTTCTCCCCCCCACACCAGCTAATTCCTGGATTGCCCCTGGCCATCGGCTCAGACGTCCATTATCCGTGCATGTTTCGGCTTCGTGCGTTTGCTTTTTCGCAAGGTGATCCAAGATGCTACAGTCGGGCCGCTGAAAGAAGGAACGCTAAAGAAGGAACGAAGCCCCTTCTTGGCCCTGCAAGCGCCTCCGTGCCCCAGGAGGGCAAGAGGAGCAGCACTGGAGGAACCTAAGGAACATCGAGCCCCTTCCGAACCCAAACTGTTCCTTATTTCAGCATCTTCACTGTACTCGATGGTCATCGTCGAAGACAACATGCACACGTCCGAGCGATGCCAGGGCCCTCCCGCGCGGCCCCTCCTCTCTAGGGGTAAGGCGAGGCCACGACTGTGACAAGATCGGATCGGGACGAATCGGAGATCTCTGAGAGCGTTCTGAAACTCTCTGGAACGGCAGCAACCTGAGATCAGAGAGCACTTCTTGGGGGCGTCGTTGAAGCCCGTTGGTATCCCTTGCAGGCGTCTTCGCTGTGGCCAGGACGTTCTTGCGGCCGCTGGGGGGGACTGGGGGGGATCTTTGGGGGGGGAGGGCGTCGTTGGGCCTCGTGGGGGCCTCTTAGGGTCTCTTCGGGCTCATTGGAGTCTCATGAAAGCCTCTTGGGGGCACCCGGGAGCTATTTGGGGCCTCTTGGAGCACTCTTGGAGTTGTCTTCGGACCTGGGGGAATCTTGGGGGTGGTTCGGGTCTCTGGGGAGCTTTATGGGGCTGTCTTGGGGCCTGTTGGGAGCGTGCTGGGGCCGTCTTGGGGCCTCTTGGAGGGCCTCTAGGGAGCGATCTTGAGGTCTCAGCTGCCCATTGGAGGCGAAAAGGCGAGGATGCAAAATCACTGATTTCACTCAGGCTCTGTATCAAGGTGCTTGGCCTATCGGAGGGGCCCTGGGGGGGAGGGCCCTCTGGGGCTGTCTTGAGCGTAAGGGGGTGAACACGAAACAAAAACAAGGCGAAACCCGAAAATCCGGCGCCGAACCCGAAAATCCAGAAAGAACCAAACCCGAAAACCGGCGGAAACCCGAAGATCCGAAGGAACGAAACCCGAAACCCCAGGAGCGGCGAACCGCGACACCCTTGATAGCCAGCCTCGCCTCCGCCTCGTCCTGTTCCTTCCCCCTCCTCCCCCGCCTCCTCGTCGTCCTCCTCCTCCTCCTCTCCTCCTCATCGCTCGTTCCCACCCTCCTCGTCCTCCTTCCGCTCCTCCCACCACCCCCTCCCCCTCCCCCTCCCCCCTCCCCCTCCCCCTCCCCCTCCTCCTCCTCCTCCTCCTCCTCCTCCTCCTCCTCCTCCTCCTCCTCCTCCTCACCGCCCTCCTCCTCGGCCAACCCCCTCTCGCTCGTCATTCATGTCTCCTCCTCGCTCGTCCCCATCCTCCTCGTCTTCCTTCCGCTCCTCCCACCTCCCCCTCCTCCCTCCTCCTCCTCCTCCTCCTCCTCCCTCCTCCTTCCTCCTCCTCCTCCTCCTCCTCCTCCTCGCTGGTCCTCCCACGCCTACTACCCTCCTCTCCTCCCTCGTTCCTCCTCCCTCCTCCTCCAGCCTCTTGCCCTCCTCTCGCTTTTCCTCCCTCTTTCCTCCTGCCTCCTCCATCCTTTCTCCTCCTCCCTCCTCTCTCCTCCTCGTGCTCCCTCCACCCTCCTCCCTTCTGCCTCCTCCCTTCTCCCCCCCTCTCCATCCTCGTCCTCCCCTCCTCTTCCCTCCTCTGTCCTCCCTCGTTCCTCCAGTCCGCACGCGGCAGCGCCTGCGGGGCGGAAACTGAAACTATTCCACTTTACTCGCCACGTGGCGAACGCCTGGGGGCGAACAAATGTGCTACTCCACTCTCCTCGCAACGTGGCAACGCCTGCTGGACGGATCAAACATACTTTCCATCAAATTGCAAGGTGGCAGCGACTGGGGAGCGAAACACAAACTACTCCGCTCCACGACTCGCCACGTGGCAACACTGGCGAGGCGTAAGCATATTTGTTGACTCTACTCGCTATGTGGCAACACCAGGGGAGCGAAACAAGTACTGCCCCACTCTCCTTGCCACGTGGCAATGCTCGGAGGGGGGAACACATACTACTCCACTGTACTCACCACGTGGAAGCGCCTGCGGGACAGAATTACTCCATCCTTCTCGGCAAGTGGCAACAAAGCGGGGCGGCAACAGATGCTACTCCTGTTGACTCGCCAGATTGCAACGCCACGTGGCAAGGTATCAGAGCTAAACAAAATACTATCCCATTCCATTAGCCACGTGGCAACTACATGGGGAGCGAATCAGAAGTATAAGTCAACTCAACTCATCACGTGGCAATGTCGCGCGGGCCAAACATGTACAATCCCACTCGACTCGCCACGTGGCAACGTCTAGGGGGCGAAAACATAGATTCCATTACATTCGCCCACGTGGCAGCGCCTTGGAGCAGGAACAAATACACCTCCACTCCAAAGGGAAACGACAGGCCGGCGAACAGCATACAACACAACTTTGCGCGCCGTGCAGCAGAACCGCACAGTGAAAAAGAACTACCCTATTGCATTCGACGTGGCAGCGCCGCGGAGAACACTGAAATCTACGCACGTGGCTCCAACGCGGACGAAGACGACGACGAGGGCGAGGGCGAGGGCGGGGACGATGACGACGTCGACGACGACGACGACATCGACGACGACGACGACGACATCGACGACGACGACATCGACGACGACGACGACACGAGCGACGACGACGACGACGACGACGACGACGACGACGACGATAACGACGACGACGGCGATCACGACGGAGGCGGCGGCGGCGAAGACGAATACGATGACGACGACCACAACGACGACGGACGACGTCGACAACGACGATGACACCAACGACGACGACGAAAATGACGACGACAATGACGACGACGACCACGATGACGACGGACGACGCCGTCCGCCCGCCCGCCCGCCCAACCACCCGCCCGCGGGCCCGCCGGCACGCCCGCCTGCACGCCCGCCCGCCCGCCCGCGCGCCCGCCCGCCCGCCCGCCCGCCCGGTCGCCCACCCGCCCGCCCGCAGACCCGCTCCCCCTCCGTCACCGACCTCCCTCACTCGCTCCTCCGAGGCGGCCGCCAAATCGAGCCAGAGCGATCAGGCACGCGGCAGGAAAACTCCTTCCCCATTACCCTCCCCCTCCTCCACTGGCCGTCGATGTCCTTCCTCCTCCCCTTCCGCATCCGCCCCCCTACCACCACTGTGCCGACGACTTCCTCATCCCAGGGAGTCCGGAGAACCGACATCCTCCTCCCCTTCCTCCTCCTGCTCCTCCTCCTACTCCTCCTCCTCTTGCTGCTGCTGCTGCTGCTCCTCCTCCTCCTCTTCCTCCTCTGCCTCCTCCTCCTGCTCCTGCTCCTGCTCCTGCTCCTGCTCCTCCTCCTCCTCCTCCTCCTCCTCCTTCCTCCCTCCTTAGGATGTACACCCTGAAACCTTGCATACATTCTTTGTTTTTGCGCAGTCGCACAATACGTTGCAATGTATTGCACCGCGTTCCTCTTCCTCCTTGAGCCCCCCTACTCCCCTGCCTCCTGCCTCCTCCCTCCTCCCTCCTGCCTCCTGCCTCCTGCCCCACCTCCCTCCCTCCTCCTCCCTCCTACCTCCCTCTCCTGCTCCCTCCTCCCTCCTGCCTCCTGCCTCCTGCCCCACCTTCCTCCTCGCTCCTCCCTCCTCCTCCCTCGTCGGGAAACGCCTGGGGGGGTGAAATATGTGCTATACTCCACTCTCTTCGCGATGTGGCAACGCCTGCGGGACGGAAAACAACGCGGGGGGAGCGACACAAATACTGCTCCACTCTCCTCGCCACGTGAGGACGCTCGGAAGGGGGAAACAAATACTACTCCACTGTACTCGCCACGTGGCAGCGCCTGCGGAACGAACGCCCCCGCGCCCGCCCGCCCGCCATCGCGCGCGCGCCTGCCGCCTGCCCACCCGCCCGCCCGCGCGCCCGCCCGAACCTCCCACGCCTCCAAGCCGAACTACCCCAAATTTCGGATCACACCTCCTTGCGGTTTCGGGTTTACCCCTTCTCGTGATTTCGGGTTTAACCCCACCGAGTCTTCGGGTTTCGCCCCTCCGCGGGTTTCGGGCTTACAGATTTTCTCTCCCTGTTTTTGGAATCGGCGGCGACTTCTGGGTTCAAGCTTCTTCCCTGTCTTGAGCGTCTCTTGAGGGGCTCTCTTGGGCGGTCTGAGGTCCCTCCACATTTGTGGTAGGTGTCGTGGACCCCGGGCACCCCTGGCCGGTTTCCCGTTAGATGTACAGAACCTCGACACCCGCCCCATTCGTCTACGATCATACCCCCCTTGAGGGTAGATCTTCCTTACCTACCACGTGTACTTGGCGCAGCCCCTGCAACAAGGAAGGGAGGGAAGAGGGAAGGGACAAGAGGGAGGGAGAAGGATGGAGCACGAGAGATCAGGAGGAGGGTCAGGAGCAGGAAAAGCAAGCGGCAGAACCAGACGGGAAAATCAGGTCTGGGAGCCCACAACCCGTCCGCAGCGGGCTCCGATGATCGAAAACGACAGACCGAAAACGCTTCCATCGTGCTGGGAGACCACCTGCAGTGCATGTACCACGAATTGCGCTGCATCTGGCGCACGGCACTGTGGGATCAACACTGTCGCCGTACCACGCGCAAAGACAGTCCCATCGCCCGGGATTGTGCCGTCCAGCTATGCCCCCTGGCATTGCGCGCCGCACAGGGCATGATCAGACCTGGCGGCGGGATGTGCGCGCTTTTCATTGCGGTCCTGACTGGGAGTGTGTGGTCGAACGCCAAGCTAAATTGGATCGTGACTGGAGACGTGGGCACGTGCTCGCACTGTCCATCTGGCAGTGTGCCCAACCTCGACCATCAGTACTGGGCGTGCGACGCACACGGCGCCGACTTACAGCGCGC